GGTGTCATTTCAATCCGGTCTAGCTAAGCAGTTGCCTTCGTACGCTGATAGACTTTCAAAATTCAAAATGAAAAGCTTAAAAATAGGAGGCTTATATTGGATCATTTGTTTTTATATAAAATTGTAAGAGGTGGTCTGGATTGCCCTGGACTGCTGGAATAGGTTCGGCTTAATACACCCTATAAAATCTCGCGAAAAGAGAAATACACACCATTTGCTACCAAGGAATCCAAAAGCAATCTCGGCCATTACGCGATCATGAACAGGCTGCAACGACAATACAATGAGCTCCAGAAAAAAACGGACGTAGACATTTTTTCAAATAGCCTCTCTAAATTCAAAAAATACTTCTGGGTGCAAGTTTGAGTACGGAATAATTTTGGATTGTTTAGTTTTTGTTATAAAATTATAATAAGTAATAAGTAATATTTAAAAAGTAAATAAGCATTAAACACTCACATTTGCATATCATGGCAGTGTATAATTGAATCTGCAGTTACCTTAAATATTAGATAATAGGTTAAGAATTTAATGTTTTTGGTGTAAGATTTGTTGGCTGTCCTTAATAAATTAATAAATAAACCACTGTTCGTCCCGTAAGTGTCGTAAAAAGCGTTCTTTAAAGAATAAGAAAAAAAACCAACATACCTTCCACCTGAATGTCTATGGACTAAATGACAAGTAGGTCATTTAGTCTATAGACGTTTACGTTGATTTTCGATAAAGAATCAAAATGATTACTCGATAAGAACCAAGATGGGAAGCCCCTTTCCAATAAAAGGGTTTTTGGTTCTCTACACTCATGATACAAAACGCAGCAGCATAAGGCTGCTTTTTTACGCTGGTTTTGTGTGATTGCGTGATCTTGCCCTGGTCGAGCCAATCCATTTGTGGTACTACTTTAAAATAGCAGCAGCACAACTCTAACACGTATAAAATGTACAGTTCTAAGAAATGTTATAAATAATAATACCTAGAAAGAACACATGTTCCATTAGATTGTATCAAAGATGCAAAACGTATGATATTGCGATCTTCAATATGCCTGCCGAAGGTGACGATTAAGGCAAATCTTCCATATAACGGCAGAGGCATTTGTCTAGGCTTCTGCTTTTATGGAATGATAATCAAGAAGAATTCATCTGATTATCAGCAGAGTAGCAATGGCCTTTTGTTAAATAACTTTTAACAAATCCTTTTTAACTTGACAGAGTCAAGATTTCGCGGAGTCGTTGTTACAGCTCGGTCAGTGGCTTGTCTCGACAGCCAAATTACCATGATTTCTCAGAATACAACTACTAGGTGGTAGGACTTCTTTCCTGCATTGGTTCTGGTGAGGACCAACCTGTTACCTACTTCTACCATCAAATAGCAGTGCTTTTACTGGTCTATTCAGATCTGAAAAATACATTCCATCTTAGTCTTAGAGATGGTAACGCATCTGTTGCTGTTTACTATCTTATATGGACTGTTATTATATGTGTCAACAATTAAAAATAGTTTGTTTAAAATACTTTATAATATAAGTAGTCAAGTAAGCCTTAATATTTAATGCTAAGCAACATTTAAAACAAACTTGATGTACTGTGACAGCAGTACCTATTAAGTATGAGAGTGCAATGCTTTGTATGCTTCACTTAGGTTTGTTTACTTTATTAGGGTCACGCTGAGTGCACCATAATACATGAACATTCCTGACATAATAACGTGACTTTGGCATCTTACTGTATCATGTGTAAGAAAACATTGATCAAAATTACAAATAGTGTTATATTTGTGATTTTGACTAACACTCGTTTCACTAATATTTTAATTTACTCACTAAAATTTAACCGTCGTTAGCGTTGCGATTTAGATGTATATGAGCTATAGCATCCACTTACTATCAGGCGAACTGTGTGCTCGTTTTTCATCCCCCTTCTATATGAAAAGTGTTAAGTGGAGTCCATGGACACTTAAAGCTAACTTCAAATAATGTCAGATGCGTTGACACTTCTATGGACTAAGATATATTGACTTACAGCATGTAGTTATACTGGCTCTCTGTATCCTTCTGACCAAAAGCAATGAATTGCAACGCTAAGGGCTACTGGTTTGAATCCCACACTGAACATGTATTTTTATGGCATATAAATAATTGTTCCGCGTCTGCTTGTTTGCCCTCGTGAAATATTAGCTAAGCTATCTAATAAAACATTCTAGTGTGAAGGTAACGTTTATAAAAAGATATATGCAAAATGATAATACCTAGGCAGATAGCAGTCCAATCAGCTTTGACGCTGCTTTCAGTGTCAAATCTAGATACTTTTAAATAAGCATTTAATATCAAAGACCTTTTATTTTTATTAGTGTATTAATTAAAAAAAAAACACCTTCAAGCTAATTAGGTAATATAATATAACTTCTATTACTTTTGGCATTGCCCTCTATCCGGTTGGCAAGTTTCATTACAGTTGGTTCAGCCAATCCGAAGACTAGCCCGGACAGACACACAGAGAATTTTTTAAGTCCTTATTTATATCTTAATATCATACAAATAACTACAAAAATAGGTGACGCTATTTAGTTAAAACTTGTTACGAGTAAATTCATGTTTAGTAAAGTAAAAGAATAGTTACAGCCTATTTAACGTCCGATTACTGAGTACATATCCCTTCTCTCAGTAAAATTTTAAGAGTACAGTACGCAATTAATCAATAAAATAAGTTTATCTGAAACGTAGTTCTTCACTTTTGTCGTATGAGTAGTCTCAAGGTCACTCACCAAACTGATGGAGAGGGCTAGCTCAGAACCCTGTCTAATAATAGACTGCGTAATGAAGATATCCGTTAAGACCATGGATAACCGTCATAGTCCAACGGATCAGTAAGCTGAAGTGGATTAGGCCGGTCATATTATATGGCTCGAATAATACTATCTTATACTATACTTATTAACTCATTTATAATTGGCGCCGCCTTGGGACAGAGAAAGTCGTAAAATGCCGTCCTTGTTTGTGTTTACATAAATATTGATAAATAAGCAAGTTTATATTTCACCAAGTGGACGGTTAATTTATTTGTCACACTTTAAATACAAAAAATATAATGACTATTATCTTTAAAGTAAACCAGTACAAAGTAACCATTAGTGTTAGATAGATAGTAAACCAAGGATAACACAAAATAAAATTGTTGGGGAATATAGTAATTAGCTAGCACCTTGAAGTACATGTTGTTCTTTATAGACGTCAATTATTAGGAACCTTTTACACAAATTATTTAATATTATTATAGCGCAGTCAAATTAAGCCATTGTAATATAGCTCCATAATGTTGTATTGTGTGCATGTCATTCTGTCTTAGTCAACACCTTGTTTATCATTTGGTCCTAAACATGTCTTCTGATCATATGATCTCGGGTTCGAATCTTGGGTCGAGTCAATTTTTTTTCTGTCAGGAAATTCTAAGTAACAGCCCGGAGTTAGGAACCACAAAGCACGTAAAATCATAGGCTTCGTGCCTGATCGCTACTAGGTTGTGTCGGATTGCCTTTTTATTGAACTATGATAATGAGGGATTAGAGAGTCCATCTGTGCTTGCGCACACATTCGTGCACTTTAGTATTGTCCTGAGCGAATCGCTAGCCTCCCTTGGGACTAACCGTTATGACCGAAATTAAGAGGACATTGTCTTAGTCATAATGTGAAAAAATATGGTGACAAGCATCTATATTTCGGTGTTCGTTCGACGAGAGGGTAAGTAGATTTAGTGCTCATTTATTAGCGACGCTTCTGTAAATAAACCCAAACCGAAACAAACGTGTAAGGTAATAAATTGTTGGCTTTTGAATGTGGTTGTTCTGATGTAGCCAGAAAGCAACGATAAAATTTATAGATAATAATAAAAGCCTACAATCCGTTAAAGTCATACTGCATTGCAATAAGCTAAGTAAGTATTCCCTAAAGTAAAAAATTCAACCTAGTTAATCAAAAAATAATAAAAGTCCACTGCTGAGCCTAGGCCTCCCTTGGATTCCTCATAAGGTATGACACACCCGTCAAATTACCTCGACTCGAGCCTGTATTCGAGTTGTCGTTTTCACCAAGGTAAACTGTTGTAAAGTGTTTAATTGTTACTCTGTTTGTTTAATGCTATGCATGTCGCGGGGAACAGTAAGTCTAAAATAAGAATATATAAAGCGATAATAACTGATATAGTACACATCACGTTAACTCATAAAATCAGAGCAAAGGCAATTTATTAACCGATGGCGAAAAAAAGTTCTTGAGTCTCGGCTTGACTCAGCGCTGCTGCGAAGAGATGTTCCATGTCTTTGCATATTTATTTTTTCGCATCTACTACGGATAAAGCTCATTGGAATGGTTCAGACTAATTCCAGATACTTAGTTTCACCATCTCATATTGCAACAAAATCGCTATATCATCTTTACCATCTACATGGATGGCTGTCTACCAATATCCGATTTACGAGAAGTTTTCTTCCTCGCACAACTTCCTAGTGAAATCGACTACCACTAACGATTTTTCCAAACCGAGATAACTTAAGGACCTTCTCTCTTTACTTACTACTCCTACCCCCTCGTCTGTCCAAACCTACTACTCTTTTTAAAAGGCCGGCAATGCATTTGCAATTCCCGTGGTGTTGCAGTTGATCATGGGCAGCGGTAGTCACTTAACATCAGGTGAGCCACATGCTCGTTTGCCTTCTCTCATATAAAAATGCATAGTCTAAGACTTTCTATTTTTGAACTAGGTATATTGATAAACTTATTATGCAAACAAGGGCGGATGAGTGTAAATTGTATAAGAATTTTTATTATATCCTGTTTTATTGAATACGATGAAAAATAAATAAATAACCTACATAATAATTACTCGACATTTATAAAAGGTCTTTTATGAATTACGGTTACGGATCACATAGAAGCAATTAAACTGCAATATAATCGCAATATAATTCAAGAGGAATATCGGTAAGCGACATTGATTTCTGACAAAATGAGACTGATCACTGTGCTGCTCGTGTGTTGCGTTGTGCTGATGAAAAACGTAATAAGCCGAAGCCTGGCTAAAGAAGGAAATTTAAGTTTACCAGCGATCGCTTCAAAATACGGATACACTACACAATTATATGATGCCATCACTGAAGACGGTTACATTCTTCGACTGTTCCGGATTCCTGGAATGAGGAAGGTACCCATTCTTCTTATGCACGGAATACTAGATTCCGCGAACACTTGGATAATAAGAGGTAATACATCACTGGCCATAACACTTGCGAATCAGGGTTATGACGTGTGGCTAGGCAACTGCAGAGGCAACAGATATTCTCGACGTCACATCTACCTCGACCCCAACATTGACGAAGACTTCTGGAACTTTTCTTTCCATGAATACGGGTTTTACGATTTAGCAGCGATTATTGATACTGTTTTATACATAACCGGTGCCGACCAACTTGACGCTATTGGACATTCTCAGGGAACCACCATGTTCTATGTACTTGGCTCCACAAGACCAGAGTACAATCAAAAGGTTAACGTCCTCGTATCACTGGCGCCCGTGTGCTACCTCCAGAACGTTCCACCACCATTGAAGATGATGATTCAATATTCACCAATTATCAACAACCTGGCGACATCACTTCGTGCACAAGAGGTTTTTAAAGAAAACGCAGATATGAAGAATGCATTGAAAGCGTTATGCATGCATCCATTAATAGGGTATTCCATGTGCATTAGGGATACGGTGTTCCCAATAACTGGTGACGATGAGGAGGAACTGGAAGCTGACTTTCTACCAGTTTTATTAGATCATTTTCCAACGGCAACATCTGTGAAAAATCTGTATCACTTTGCTCAAGTCAGCTACAGAAGGCAGTTCGTACGCTTCGATTATGGAGCTGATATCAATTTAGATATGTATGGGTATCCGATCCCCCCAAAATACGATTTAGATAATGTAGAAATGAGAGTCGCTCTGTTTGTTGGGCAAAACGACTTCGTATCAACAGTAGAAGACGTTGCGATATTAAAACAGAACCTTCCTAACGTGGTACAGCACCTGGTGATTCCACGTAGAAAAATGAACCACGCCGATTTTGTCTTAGGTCGACATATGAACGAGTACCTCTTTCCGTACATATTTGATGTCTTAAGGACGTATGAATCAGAAAATGTTTTGAATGTTAGCCATTAAGATAAATAAACGTGAAAGATAATGTCGAATCCTAATTAGACAAATAGGTAGAAAGATAACACTTTTTATTTCTATTTATATTATATTTATTATATATGTTATAATAAGTGATATAAAGAGCAGAATTATATATATAATATCCTATAGAATTTACTACTAGAGAAAAATATAAATATAAACCAAGCCCGAGCAATAATGCTAACTTTATTGTAAAATGACGCACTTATATACACACACTGCGTGTCAAGAAGTTGAGTATGGTATTGCCGTTGCTCCATATGCAAACAGGGCTTCGCCTATATTTATTTGTTGGTTAGAGAAGGAACAAAGAATGGGGTGAAAAGGAATGTATTAAAATGGGCAGAATCATTTATAAGAGCGAATTCTTCCAGATAATCTTTGGATAATATGTACATTCTTACTGATACCGTAGTATTTGTAAGGAAATCAAATAAAAATGACTGTTGATTTACTTGAATAGTAATTATTAGTACATAAGTGATTAGAATCGCCCTACTTGGCTAAATAACTTGCAAGCTACTTGTATAAAAAAGTCTTTATGTGTGATAAAGTTTTTTTTATCACACACACCACCCACATATTTTTAACATTTATCAAAATAAATGATATCGGAGAAAGTAATAAAATTAAACTTGAAATGTTATCTTTTAAGTTAATGGTGCATTGCTTTGCAATGCCGACACTTTAATATTATTTTCTTTATCCGTTTTTCTTTCCAGCATCTCTAGAGATGTGAATATTTAAAGTGATACTGGCAATTTTATATTTTATCTTATGAAATGTGCTGCAGAAATAATGAAAGATTTATAAAATATTTTCTTTTCCGTATGATTCATGATGCGTCCATCGCACTACTTCATACCGTGGATGTTTTTACGACACCCACGAGATGCGAATGTGACTGTGGGTGATTCCAGAAAACACGTTATGGCTTCCGATAGATGGCGGTAGGAACATCTCGTTTACACCATAAGTAGTGTATTTAGACGGGCAAGAGTTAGGCAGCACAAAAGATGCGAGGAAAGATGAAAGAGTGCCCTTGGCGAAGCGCGATTTAAGTCGTGGGTATATGATTGTTAAATTATTCCTACTGAAAAAGGACAGGAACGAGGGAAGGGTCTTTGTCACGGCTCATTCAGCAGCAGATTCCCTAACCTCCTATGAAACCTACGTTGGGTTCGGGAACAACGTATGTGAACCCCGCAACGGAGTAACACACGAGGGCGTCGACCTCTTCTTTTTCTTCAAATAGGTTCAGGCGGGGATTACGGGTCTTCCGAGGTCGTCCCGGTCCCAACGCCTTAATTCTTCAATATGTGCCGCGCTAGCGACACCAATGAACTGTACTTATTTTAAAGGTGAAGGATCCCTTGGGAATAAAACAGTAATTATCTTCAAACCGTTCCGTGAGAGAGTAATTACTTTCCCTATCACTTTCCTATATAATTTTCTTTCTTGATTATATTATATACTGGTAGCTAGTCCCGAACGATTTGTATACCTCGTGATGTCGTCTACATGCACCAAGGTGCTATGCAGGTATCGGGCCTCGGGGTATACCCTATTGCCCGGACTTTCCTCATGGCCCACTGCTATGGGACAGTCCTTGGTGCCTATATTAGGCTAGTTGCACGCGGAGACTTTCCGTAGTGTGACAATTTATTTTCCCGTAGTTAACCGACTACGGGAAAAAAGGAGGTTATCCGATAAAAAGTTGAAGTTGGCCTATCAGCGGCATTGAGGGTTGTTACTCGACTCTCTAATCGCTATAGAGAGGAGTTCTCTTGGAAGAGGTCGCCCGTCCGGCGACCGGATATGCAACGGCGCAAATCCGTTGAGGTGTTCATGTGGCCCGCTGTCGGCGCGGTCGAACATGCCGCGCGCCAGCCGGGCCACAAAGTCGGTGATGTTCTCGATCTTTAGATCGGCCGCTATAACGTCGTTCTGGACGTAGCGACCTGCTCCGACGATCGTCCTTAATGTCAGATTTTTTCACATGAAAATAACACAGAATTCACCTATTTTGCTCATACAGTCAATCTGAAATATTTTAAAAGTCAAATTTACATGAATTGCTGAAATTTGCAAATATTTAAATTTCTACTTATTTTGACCTCCTAAGTACAAGGTTAACACGCGGCTATGAACTCGCGCTATTTGAACAACTAATTATTACACGACTCTCAATTGTCGGTAAAAGGTGGCAAATTTGGCACACACTGCTATCAACCAATACTAGGCGAACAACTGATTCTACACGACTCTCAAATGTCGAAAATTATTTCTAACTAGATTCTTAGCAGCTATCATGTTTCTTATCAGATAACATAAACAAAATATTTTATAAATCAAACATTGGAAATAAACATTTTATTTTCATACAAAACGTATCAAAATTATATAAGATAATACTTATGCAATTAATTTCCATTAATTCTATTTATACACAAAGTGATCATTTCGATCGGGGAACAAATCCTGGTCTCTAACTTTATTTTAATATTCCTTTAAATTAACAATATTATTGGAAAGGTAATTTCGACCGGGGAACTGAACCCGGAAACATAATTTATATCTTAAAAATTCCTTATATGAATTTATTAAGAAAATATTACTAAGAAAACGACAAACTAGTCCGGCCTGGGAATCGAACCCAAGACCTTCAAATTATTAATTCGATATTTCTTTAAGATTCAACTAAGTGTTTTCTTATTAGAATATTATTGCTCGATAATTTGTTTTTAGAAGCTGTTCGTAATCGGTTAACTAATAAATTGAAATATTCTTATAGACGCGTCGCCAACACCTACATTATGGATCATTATAAGTAATAGTAATGTATTAAATATTGTGGTTGTTTAACGTTATCCTTTTTAATTATCGTTACCGTTACAACCTATTAAAGTCCACTGCTGAACATAGTTTAAGTTTAAGTAAGTTGAAGTTCAATAATTCTCTTACTTTCTCCATCGGTTTTAATTCATTTCACTAATAAATGCTGAATTTTACTAATCCAACCATATTTAAACACTTAATCACCAAACTATTGCGAAGGAAAAAGAAAGAACGAATCATAAAAACTATTTTACACGTTGCCATAAGAATTAATTCTACAATTTCATATTTCATATAACTATGTACGTAGAGTATATTTTTCGCTAGTTGGTCATTTGATTTGGCTGAATTGAGATGCTCTACACAAGCTCGCTTGAATCTATTGGTAGCAATCATAAACAGATAACCCTATTTTTATATTTATGTAGTGAAATGTCGATTACAGACTTTATATTTAAAACCGAATATTGGTTTAAAAAGAGATATAGTTTTGAATATTTGTATTGCTGTTTGTTTATCTATTCATATATTTTCATCATCACCATCACCTTTATAAAAGTCCTCCAAATGTCCACTGTTGAATACAGGACTTCCCATAGGTTGACTCGCAAGGTTACTTCCCATAGCAGTTTTTTGTTTTCTTTTTTTATCCTGCTATCCATTCTCTTATGTGTTTGCCATTATCGCCGCTTGCGATTCCAACAGGACAATATGAGGAAGTGGATATTCCTACACGGCCATTACTCGACGAAATTTACTAACGCCGTCACTGTAATATTTGACCACATAAAAATAATTACACTAAACATTGATATTGTTTAAGCTTCGATTTATTTATTAAATTAAATTTCCACATCAATCTTCCCTGTTCTCCGTTAGTCCAAAAACGAAATTAATTTTGGAAACGAACCATATGAATAAAACTAAATTTACGGATTTTTTCGCGTTTATTTCACTACTTTTACTTATTTTTTTAATTCCCGACGTTTCGGGTGCTTTACAGCAACCATGGTCACGGGGGGGGGGGACTGAGATGTTTGACGTCCCAATGTCATAGTTAGTCCGGCTACCTTCAGTTTTTGAATATTAATTTTTGGTCCCATTTACGCAAAACGAGCTTATATCGACCATAAATATCTTATATCGAGCGTAAATCGGACCAAAAATTAATATTCAAAAACTGAAGGTAGCCGGACTAACTATGACATTGGGACGTCAAACATCTCAGTCCCCCCCGTGACCATGGTTGCTGTAAAGCACCCGAAACGTCGGGAATTATAAATAAGTAAAAGTAGTGAAATAAACGCGATAAAATCCGTAAATTTAGTTATATTCAATGTGTAGTGTTCGCGTAAATTTAAGAAATCATTATACGAACCATATGGTGGTACTTCTTTCCTATATTTCACTTTATCCTACCACCAACTGGCAGTGGTGTGTTGTACAGCTGTGTTTTGGTCCAAAGAATGTAGAAAAATATTGTGTTTACAGACATTCCATCTAGATTTGTAGCTGTAGCTTTCTATGTGTAAATTTGGCTACTATTACACAGCCCACCATCAGGGGAACTAGTACGTTTGTCAAAGATGAAGTCATGACTAACGACAAACCTGTCCTATTTAAGAGCCTCTAAAACAAGGATTCCCAAAGCGGTTGAGATCGGTTTCCCAGGGGTTGACATAAACGTCACCAGGTCACAATGAATTTTTCATTTTTTTATGTTTACTTTGCGATTTTTAATGTTTTTTTTTCACAAAATAATTATCTTGAAATAATACTAGTTTTTACGGAGTTTATCGCGTATATTTAACTTTTTAATTACCCGACGTTTCGAACGCTTTACAGCACTCATGGTCACGGGCAGGACTGAGATGTTCAACGTCCATATGTCATAGTTAACCGCGGTTACCATAGATTAATATTTAACTTCTATGCATAAAGTTAAATTTTAATCTATGGTAACCGCGGTTAACTATGACATATGGACGTTGAACATCTCAGTCCTGCCCGTGACCATGAGTGCTGTAAAGCGTTCGAAATGTCGGGTAATTAAAAAGTTAAATATACGCGATAAATTCCGTAAAAACTAGTATTATTTCAATGTGTAGTGTTCGCGTAAATATAAGAAATCATTAAATAATTAT